AGGCTGGTGTGCTTCTTCCATGTGGGCTTTGTTGCTTCTGATCTAGATGGCCACTTGTTTATCTTCAAGCCTTTATGCCCAGATGCTATCTCTTCTGATAGCCGGGCACCATCAGCTTTCTTCACCACAGTTGCTTATGCACCTGCTTTGTCTTCAGCAATCGTGTTGGGAAGGTGAGCATCATAGAATGCCCAGGCACTATTCTTACTGATAGCCAGGCACCATCTGATTTCTTCACACTTTGCGTTAGCACCCATAGCCCCTCATGAGTATGCCAGGACTTTAAAACACATTTGTGAGTCATGCAGGGACTGATCAGCTAGACCCCAACTTCTTCGATCTACTTCATCCCCGCACACCAGCTGTATCCCTCAGCTTCCTGGAACTCGGGGTCTGCTCCTTTCTGCCACCCTCACGAAGCCCTTTGTGGACAGCCCGGGCAGTGTCTTGGAAGTCAGCAGTAGACAGGGTTAAGTATACACTTCAGGGATAAGCATACACTTCAGAACTGAACCTTCAGGCAGGCTGGCTCTTTAAGGTGGCTGAGGCTTGTTCTACCTGGCGGGCTTGAATGCAATGTTTTTGTCATGTTTGTTTGTTTGTTTGTTTTTAATCCAAGAGTTGTCTCTTCCTCTCTTCCTCCTCCCCCTAATAGTGCCCTCGTCCTCCCAGGTCACACCCAGTGTGCAGTGGAAGCAGCACTGTGACCTGGCTCTTGTCACCCATGGCCAAGCTGCCTAGCAGTCTTGGGCTCCGGCTTGTCCCCTGCCCACTGGCCTGCCTAGGAATGGAGTGAATCTCCCAACAGCCTGCTTCGGGATGGTGAGCACAGGGTGGCGTAGGATCCATGCAGAACTGTGCTTCTCCCTGGAAGCTGGGGTTTGGGGGACCTGAGTGTCCCTTGTCGTTAGGCGCTGCCGGTCACTTCCCACGCATAGCACCCCTACATCCAACGGAATGAGACACCGCCTGGTCACGGCCGTCCCCACACTTGGCCTTATGTTGAGTCCGTTTTTTTTGCAGCCACTGTGTCCGTCCATCGGGTTGAGACCCTTCCTCCGTTGCGCCACCCCTCCACGTTACCAAGCACAATGTCCCTCTCCAGGGACCGGTCTCTCCTGACCAGCTGTCCAAAACACACGAGGCCACGTCCCCCCATCCTTGCCTCTAAAGAGCATTCTTGTGGCACTTCTTCCAGACAGATCTGTGGGTTCTTTTGGCAGTCCACGGCGCTTCCACGTTCTTCGCTAACACCACAGCTCAAACACACTGCCTCCCCGTCAGCCTTCCCTATTCAATGCCCAGTCTTCGCATGCCTACGAGACCCCTGGAAACACCACGGCGTAGGTCCTGCCTCGTCTTCCTGCACGTGTTTTAAAGGCGCCCTGCCGGCACGCAGTGCCTGGCACACGTGGACAGGAGCCCCTAACTGCCACGCCGGTGCTGAGCCGTCTTGAGTTTGTGGTTGGCTTCTTTCTTTGCCGTGTGTGTGAACGCTTTTACAGAGCAAACCTGCCTGCCTTTAGACAGCCCCCACACACCAGGCCACCATTCCTGTCATGGTGAGGATTCTCTTCTTCCCACGCCCTCCCAGCTCCCCATTTCCCTGAGTCCTCTCTTCCTGCCTGCTCCTGCCCTCTGGGCCTTGGGTGCGGGGTCGGGGTGGAAGAGGGGTGCCCTGCCAGTCTCCCAGGGATACCTGCTCTGAGGCTCACATCCCACCCTGCTGTGACGCTGCACTTTACAGTCTGTCTGCATTTTAGTGGTGGTTTGAGTTTTCCCTTTGCTTGCTTGCTTTTAGCTTCCGTGGCTTCTCCCCCCAGTTTCTGAGTTGCTGGCCTTGTGGTAGCCTGTGCAGGGCAGCCCCTCAGAGCAGGCAGGCCAGGCCATCCGTTCGCCAGAGCTCAGGCCAATGGGACTGCTGGACTGTCGCCCTCACTTTCCCCGAGCCAGGTGCCCAGGGAGCGTGGTGGCAGCGAGGTCAGTGCACGGTGCAGAAAGGCAGTAGGTGGAGGATGAACTTTCCCACCCACGTCACCCAGGAGCCAGGTGGTCAGGGCACCCCTTCCACCGGGAGGCAGCACGCCCTGCCTGAGATGGGCTCTGAGCAGGTCCAGGGGTGTGTCTCATCTCACCTGGAGCAAGTGAGAGTAACAGTGAGCCAGTGCTGCCCTGGGCCTGCGTTTGGGGCCATCCGTCCTTTGAAAACCTCAGCCGAGAGGGTTGGCAGGGAGCCGTGTTGAAGATGTAACGAGGTTTCTGGGGCTCCTTACGTGCTTCTCTTGAGGAAATCTAGCTTCCAGCTTCAATTCTTTGCTCACCAAGCAACCTTCTGACCTTTAATTTGGCCCCTCGGGTGGCCCTGCCCCTGTGGAGGAGATACCCCGCGTTAGAACACCCAGCCGCAGTCCCCAAGGCAGGCCCAGCTCCCGCTGTGGATTAATCAGTTGTTGGCCTTCTGCCTTTTAAATCAGCCTCTGGGGGAGGGCTCAGTGGGAGACAGTCCCCAGAGCCTAGCCAGGGCCCAGCCCCTGGTAACCCTGGCACACCTCAGCCTTCAGGAACAGCGACTGTGGGTGCGCCCGGCAGACTGACAGACCATGTACAACGTCGGCCCGCCCGATCTCTAGAAAAGAATGAATTATAGAATCTGTAAAGCCACCGTCAACTTTCCGATGCATTGAATGGCAGAACCGGGGCCGTGGGTTATTGACGAGTGGAATTCCTGCGGGGACCAGTCGACAGGAGTGATGTGTAATTCACGTAGTAAAAGGCCAGCCTCCACAGACTTTGGTATACTGGCCATTGGCATATTTTGGAAAATAACATGCATTTTTGATTTGTTTTGTTTTAAGAAGCCAAACCCTTTTGTCTTCCTTTGTGGTACAGGCAATTGCTCAAAGCTGCTATTTCTTTTCCGTTGATGGTATAAGGATAAACTTGTCCATAAAGGGGCTTTGTGGAGCCCAGACATTACCCATGTGAGTCTGAAAGAGCCCAACGATTGCGGTTCTCAGGGAAGAGCTGTAGGGTGTCCAGTGCTGGGGAGGAGCAGTGGGCCTGAGACCTGGAGGAGCTCTAGGCCATGGAGTTGGTGGCAAGGAGTCCAGGCCGCGTGTGAACAGGCTCCACTGCAGGGTGGGCTTCCACTTAAACCCCCAAGGAGCCAGTACCGTGATTCCCCCAGCAAAGGAACCGGGTCATGGGACCGGCTACTCTCCATTTCACCTCTGCCCCGCACTAGGCCACTCTCTCTCTCTCTTTTTTTTTTTTTTAATTAAAC